GGTTGTTGCGAGGGATTTTTGGGCAATTGCAGGTTGTTGTGAGGGATTTTTGGGCAATTGAGTTCAATGAATCGAGTTGGGTTCGATGGAACCTACTTGCTAGGTTACATCGAACCCAGATCTCTTGGGTTCTGTCAAACTTCAATCTTGAAAATAGAAAGAACACCGTTTATGGAAAGAAAAAAAACAGTAATCGATGGGCAAAGAAGCAATTCTTAGTGGTGATGTGGGATCCATTTGGATGGATTTGGCACGATTTCGCGAGGATAGCATGTGACATGGCAGAAGTTTTATGCATATCATCACTTTTTTAAGTTTTGCTCTCCACATCATCAAAAAAAATATAAAAAATGCCACCTAAGCAGGGTTAACGACCCAAATTAACAAAAGGACTAACGGAGTGCATTTTGTATAGTTGAGGGATAAAAAAAGTGCAAAAAATTGTTGAGGGACCAAAAATGTGCATTTCATAAAGTTAAGGGACCAAATTAAGCATTTAACAAAAAAAAACTCAAATTTCGTAATTTTAATAAAATACCACAAAAAATTAAAATAATCTCATTTTTATTCTAAAAATTAAGATGTTTTAATAAAATTTTTTTTCAATAAAAATTTATTAAAATTGATAGTTTTAAAAAAATTTACCTAATTTTTTTATGCATTTTTAATAAACATATATTTCTATTTTTTGAGTTTTTTCGGTGCAAACCTATTTTTTGAGTTGTTTATAAGTTTTAGTTTATATATATATTTGTATATATTTGTATCATATTTTGTCTAACTTTATCAACTCTCTACCTAAAGCTTTTAGTATTGTTACGTAAAAGTCTATCTGCTTTATGTTAAAAATCAACTTTTCATTAATCCGTGTCAAGTTGTATAGTTTTCTTTCATATCTGCTATTGTTAAGATCGTAGTATAAATTTTATTATCTTGTTTGTTTTATATCTAGTGTTAGACTACATTTACTTATTTGTGTTAAAGGTCAAGGCTTTCTAAATTGCCATCTTTTCCCATTTACGTAGCTAGTCTTCTTTGTAAGAAAGTGTTGACTAATTTTGTCAAAATTGGTTACTATTTGATCAACATTTGTTGACTATTTTGTCCTTTGTTAATATTTGGCTTCCTTTTGTTATCTGTTTCAATCTCCTCGTCAGTATTAATATCTGGTTACCTTTGTCAATACTTACTTATATCTATTTTTATAACTCTATCCAGTGCTGTTTAATATTTGATATTATTTATCTACTACTAACTTTACTATTGATATTATTATTAGTTACTGTATTTGACTTCTTCAAAAATTTAAAAATATATATATATATATATATATGAGTTTAGATTATTTAAATTTAGCTATTTCACATCCTTATAAAAAACCAAAAGCAACTTTATATAATTAGAATATAGTTTGTAGTTTTCCAGGTGTTAACCATAATTTACATTCAGATAATAGTCAGTTAAATAGTATAATAGACTTAATTATAAATTTTTCAAAAAATTATAAAAAACAAAATGAGAAGGAAAAAGTAGTACTCGAAAGGTTCCAAAGCTTTGAAAAGCATTACAACAAAAATATTGTGAGAATAATAGAAAATCAAGACTATCTACAACAACAAATTGAATTTGTCAAAAACAAAGTCAATTTAGTTAATTCTCAATTTCTAAGTAACAAAGGGTCAGATCATTTTGTTCAAAACCTTTATCATCAAACAGCTACCTTGATCCAAAATCAAGAAGAGTTGTTTAAACAAGTTCAAAAACTTCAAAAATTAATTCTTGGTTTGAATGGGTGAAACCCCTTTTACTCAAAATTCAAACTATAGAGAAGCTTTAAAAGAAGTAGGAAAATTAGGAAATCCCTACGGATTAATTGATTTCCAAACCTTAGCAGTCCAAGATCAAGTATCAGTAGGACAGCAAAATACCTAAATTATTTTGCTACTATGAATTTTAGAAAATCAAGAAGAAATCTTAAGTGAAATAAAAGATATAAAAGATCTCTTAAAAGACATAAAAGATCTCTTAAAAGACACTCACTTAAGAACTGCAAAAATATGTCAAGAGGCTATAGGACAAGATCTTCTTCAAGAAGCAAGTGAAAAAATAGATCTAGAAAGAACCATTAACATAAAAGAAGATCTTAAGCAAATAAAATCTACTCTTTCGTTTTTATCCCAAATAAAGGCTAAAGAACTTAGAGTCTCAAAAAATTACATTGTGTTACCTTAAAATCCAAAAATTATGGAATAATCTAAAATCATAGGCAACCCTCTGATTAGGATGTTCTCTAAAGGAAAACAAATTCAAGAATCTATAAAAGTCGAAACTTTAATAGATCTTGAGGAACAAATAAAAAGATTTAAAAGTGATAAATTTGACTTGGTCAAACCCAATTATCTTTATGAAAATGCCAATTCCTTATTTAATGCTAGATCAATCTTTCAGCATTATCAGGAAGTTTAAATATCCTGTGTCAAAGATAGTAATAATGTTACCTTAAAACTATTAAGCGAAAATGGATATTTTAATCTCAAAAGAATAAAATATTCATTGGTCCATGTAGGGTTAATCACTATAGGAGTCAAACACTTCATAGAAAGGGTTTAGGTACAAAATGCCTTTTAACTCTTTTAGACACAAGATATCAGCATATGATTCAAGCCCTCATAGGATCTATCAAAATAGACCTATCTGAACAAGTAGGATTTGCATACTTTACTCCCAATTTCCAAATGGACATAAAAGCCTTTAAACAATTTATAAAAGTAGGAATCATGACTAAAGGCTATTCCATGGCTGAAGGAGAGAAAAATCTTTTAGTTTGCATAGGAATCTGTAATACCCCAGAAATTTCTAGAATAAATAAGTGAGTTAGGGACTAAATTATGGAAAAATATTGTTTTGGGCTTAATAGCCGAAATGTCCAAAGTTGAGGGATTTAAAGAGGGAAAATAATTGGATAAGGATCAGTTTCTTTTCTTTTTCTTTTTCCTTCTTTTCTTCCCCAGCCATTTCCCGATTCTGCTCTTCTTCTTCCCGCTGCAGCCGAACAAAGCCCCCAAGCTGCCGGCGACTTCCTCCCTTGAAAAACCGGTAAAGCTTGATGATTTTCCCTTATTTTCTTGTCCAAGAACCTGATTTAGAACCCAGAAATCTTCCCCCCCTGCTGGAAAAGCCGGATCTGCCCTGCTCTGCTTTGTCCTTCCGCCGGCTGCTCTTGATTGTGGGTGATTTCTGGGCATTTTTTTCGGTAAGAACAGCCCCTAATTCCTTTGTTCTTGCTTGAATTGGCTTGGGTTAACTTTGATTGCTCTTATTTCCTTCAATTTTTGGGTAAACCCGTGAGCTTTCCCTGCAGCTTGCCGCCGGCTTCTTCCCCCTGCTAGGTCCGGTTCTTGCTGGAAAATTCTGGTATGTGACAGCCTTTTAAGGCTTAAATTATCCATTTAAAGTTGCTGCTTGTGATGTCCGAATTTTGCTAGGAAATGGGGAAATTCCGGTAGCAATTAAGAGGGATTTAAGTGTGTTTTGTTGCTTAATTCAAGTGAGATTTATGTGATTGAGTGTTAGTTGGTTGTTGTGATTTTTGGAGAAAATCCCGTGAGATTAGCTAGTGTGTTTGTCCAATTTGTGGAAGTGGAGTTACTGTTCACGTCGGGGTACTGTTCACGGGTACTGTTCACCGTTACTGTTCACACCCCGAGGGCCAACAATTAACGGGAATTTTAGTGATTGGTTTGTGATATAAGAACGAATTTAGAGATATTTGATCATGTGGAGATTTATGGAAATAGCATTGTGATTAGGAATGATCCTAATGATGATTTCAGCTTGAATTTGTGATAGTCCAGTATTAATTCTTGAAATATCTTGATTAGGTTCCAGATCGTTCTGTCAGTTAGTGCGTGAATTGAGTGCTCGGTTTTATGCGAGTGAGGTAAGTAAAATTATGGTAACGCCCTTCGACTTTTCAAGCATGTTTTGATTTTTTTTTGAAGTGGTGGCGGGACTAAACCCGTTTTACACGAGCATGACTGATTTGAAGTGAAATGTTTTATGCTTTTTATTAAATTGAGCATGCCTACTTGAAATTTAAGTGACTGTCCTGATGATCTGAAAGTGATTGTGAATCGTGATTTTCCTGTTAACTTCTGCCTGTTTTGTCTCCGATGTGGTCATGTTATTCGTGACCCTGCTAGTGGGGGAGGTTACAAACGCTAGCACATGTCGACATGTTAGTGAGAGAGCTGGTTCGTTCAACCCAGCTAGTGGGGGTTATACACCCGCAAATCGTGGCCCTGCTAGTGGGGATTATACATTGGCCATGACCTATAGAGGAGACGTCTATTTCGTTCCCGCACTGTATCCGTTTTTCGTGATTGTACTTGTTGGCATGCTATAAGTTTAATAAGGGCACTCCATATTTACTTATTGAGTTTATCTCATAGTTTTTCCTTGTCCACCATTTCAGGATGTGAAATCGAGGACGGGGAAACCACGGGAAGTGACGAGTTAGAAGGCTAGCCATATTGTAATTGGATATAGATTTTCAAAATAAATCATGATCTTGTAAGCTAGAGTGTATTTGGAGATTTATGATCGGAGAAATCTTATAATTTGATCTTCAGATTTTGATGGTATCAGATTGTGGTGTGATAAGTTTCGAGCCTTGTGCATTTGTGGGACCCGTCTCACAAGTGCACGGCGTCTGCCACGTCCCCGGATTTGGGTTCTGGGGCGTGACAGATTCACTGTCCAAATAACTCAGAATAGAACAACCAATTATAGAGTGATTAGTGAAGAAATTTGTGAAATATTTTGGATAAAGGGAACTAAGGCCATTCATGCTAAACATTTAGATTCAACCTATTTGAATGGAACTGAATGGAATATAACGAAATTCCTAAATAAAACCATAATGGTATCCACTCGAAATACCTTATATCAAAATTATAACGGAGAAACGAGTTTGAGCTTTAATGATTAAGAAAATATTCTTCATGAACAAGAAGAAAATGAAGAAACAGTTGAAATCAAGATGCTACACTTCACTGAAGAAATAGAAAATGAAGAAAATGAACCTTCTTGGCTTCAAACCTTAAGAAAAAAGGAAGAACATTTTGCAAAATGGGGACCAATCAAAGATAAATATAATGAAGAATGGGAATTTGTTGAAACTTATTTTTCTTCAAAAGGAAAAGAAGTTAATGCTAAAGAAGTCTTAACACTGAAATATCATGGAGAAGATATAGAATATCAAATTCTAGATCTAGAACTTCCAGTTGAGGCTTCAAAAATCAAAAACTCATACTTCAAATCATTCATGAATATGAATCCCAACAAGAAAAAATATTAATGAATGTAACCCCAGAAAATCAAAATCAAAATCCGAATCCTAACCAAAATCCTAGTGCTCCAACTAGATCCAAAATTGAAGAAAATTCTGAAATTCCCAAAACATCTAGAGATTTCGGTTCTAGAATGTATCAGTTAGGAGGAAGATATCTCATACCTTAAGCATCACTTGAGTATAGAGGCAAAAATAGAGAGAGAGGATACAATTTGGTAAAAGAATGGAAATCGACCCAAACCAGTTACTTGCTGCAAAACAGCAAGGGACTATTCTAGAATTACCAAGTTGGAATCCACAACTTTGGGCAGAAATAATAGATCAATGGGAGAGAGACGCTTGCCGAGCATGGATCAATCGATCTATGGATGGTGAGATGTTTGAATTCTTAGAAACACTTCTAGGCCCAATTGTAGCATTGTACTGGAATACCTTTAAAAGAGAAAACCCAACCTTAGTTGCTGAAACACAAGACTTAGGGGAAAATCCGTACAATTTACCTATTTAATAAAAAAGATGTTCTTAGGATTTGATGTAACTTTTGATTTCGAAAGAGCTTTACAAAATAAAGCTATTGAGGAGCTTGAGGTCCTTCAGTTAACATCTTGGTATCCAATCGAGTCTTTCTGCAATTATTTTCTTAAACTCATTGCTAGAACAGGACAAGGATTTGATGACAACCTAAACAACAGAATCTTTGATAAACTACCAAGCACCCTTGGTAAAAAAATTAAAGAAAAATGGCTAGCTTCTAACCCTGCACCTCAACAGGGAGCAGGCCCTAAGATTTTGTTTATATATAAAATATTAAGAGAAAAATGTACAGATATCCAAATCCAAAAATCTCTTAAAAAGCAAAAATTTGGTTTTTGTAAATCCGTAATTAGAAGACATGGTTCTTCAAAAGAATCATATAATAGGAGGAAAAATACAAAAAAAAAAAAAACCAAAAAGAATGTTTTTCATGCAAACCCAAAAAATTCATAAAAAAGAAAACATATTCTCTTAGGCCTAGTAAAACCTTCAAAAAAGGAAAAAGGGGTAAAAAAGAGAAATATGTAAAAAAAAAACCCAAAAATCCAAAGAAAGACAAAAAAATGCTATATATATGGGGATCTAGGACACTATGCAAACAAATGCCCAAATAAAAACAAACCATCAGAAAGACCTTACACATGGGCAAATCTTGAGAAAGAAGAAGACATCATCTCTATAAGCAAATACGAATCTGGAAGTGATGTCTATAGCATCATTTCAGAAGATTTGTTTGTAGAAGATTTGTCTGAATCTCATTCAGAATCTAAAGAGGATAAAGATTCTAAAGACCAAAATCTTCAATAGTTTATAAATTCTCTTGATCAAAAACTAAACAGCGTAAAAATCATGATGATCAAAATTGATTCTTACTACAAACACTTATGGCAATTAAATCAACCACCACAATAGGAAAAATGTTTAGATTGTCATAGGTACACCCAACCTTCTACAAAAATTAAATGTACAATATGCCCAAAGGTATATTGTATATTTTGTCACAAAAAAAAAAAATTAAAAAAAGAGGTTAAACAGGTACAGCCTTCAAAACATGTAAATCAAATTAACATTCTTGCAACAAACGAAGAACAATTAATTGGAGAATTAGAAAAATTGTCTCTATTGCAAGAAATGAAATCAATGAATGAAACTCTCAATGAAAAAGATAAGTACATCTTGCAATTAGAGGAACAAATCAAATTTCTCCACCAAAAAATAAAAGAAATGGAAAAACAATTAACAAAAATTCCTCTCAAAGAAAAAGATGCTAATGAACAAGCAGCAAATAAAAAGGAGCCAATTTCTACTTTATCAGCTAGTGTTCCAACAAATCCCAAAGATTCAAATTCTTTGCTCAGCATACTGCGTTTAATCACATTTAAAAATGAAGAAACAAAAGAAATTTTAGGCATGATTGATACAAGAGCATCAAAAGCTCACATCCTTGAAATTAAGATCCCAAATTCTCAAGTTTCACCAATGAAAACTGTCTATGGGACTCAAATGGATGGAACTCAACTCAAATATGATAAATGCTTAAAGGATGCAAAAATTTCTTTTTGGGATTGGGGATCAAAAACTTTTGGAGAAAAGTACACTTTATCTCAAGTAATTGTACATAATATCCAAAATAATTATCCCTTCATAATTGGCTTAAACTTTATCACTCACTTTCAGGGCCAAGTGATAATTTCTTCTGATGGAGTACAGTTTGCAAAATGAACTAGTTACACCCCAACAAATAGATGTATCATGAACCTTCCAAAACCAGAAGAAATAGCACCCTAAAAAATCCAAAATAAATTAAATAAGCATTTTGAATATAGTAGTAATTATTTGAGTAGTGATGAAAATTTTTTTGATGATTTATTAGAATCTGATTATATACCAAATCTCTCATAAGAGACTTTGGAAATATTCGATGATTCTATAGATTATCAGTTTTTTGATGACTTAGCTAATGATGAAGAAGAAATATATGTAAATATAGAAAAAAAAAAACTCTTTCAAATTTGCAAAAGAAGAAAACAAAAGAAAAAGTAAAAATTATATATAAAAAAAAAGGACCTAGATGAGTTAATTAGAATAGCTAATAAAACTCAAGTTTTAAGAAAAGACCCAATCAAATATTGGGATCGGAATAAATGTACAGCAAAACTAGATATAATAAATCCTGAACTTAGAATTACTTGTGGCAAGATGGTTCAAAAAATTTTCTGATTTTGTCTTGGTATACATAGATGATATCATTGTCTTCAACAAAATTGAGACCGAGCATATCAAACACCTTCAGATCGTTTTTACTAAATTCTTGAAAAATGGCCTTATAATTTCTAAAAAGAAAATGGAACTCTCCAAAGAGTACATTGAACTTTTAGGAATGAGGATTGGACAAGGAAAAATTCAATTATAGGATCATATAGTTAAGAAGATTCTTGAATTTCCTGACAAAATTGAGGAGATAAAAGAACTTCAAAAATTCCTAGGTATACTCAATTATGCCCAAATGTATATAAAGGATCTATCTAAATTGACTAGACCATTATATGTAAAACTTAGTCCCAAAGGACAAAAGTTTTTCAATAGTGAGGACATTAAATTTGTAAAAAGAATAAAAGATGAAGTTAAAAATTTACCCTCTCTAACTCTACCATTAGAATCAGACTACAAAATAGTCGAGACTGATAGTAGTAGTGAAGGATGGGGAGCAATTTTGTTAGTAAAACCTAATGAATTTTCATCTCAAAAAGAAGAAAAAATTTGTAGATATTCTAGTGGATTGTATAGAGAAAGTAAAAATTATTTAACATCTCTTGATTTAGAAATATTAGGTGCTATAAATGCTTTAAATTCCTTTAGACTTTTTTATCCAAAATGATACTTTTACAATTAGAATAGACTGTGAGGCGATTGTAAAATATTTTCAAAAGAAGAATGAAAAAAGTCTTTCTTCTAAACGATGGATGAATTTTGCAAATGTTATAACTAGAAATGGTTTTAAAGTAAAATTTGAACATATTAAAAGTAAAGATAACTATCTTGCTGATTGGCTAAGCAGATATATTCATTCTTCTCTTGTGCAAGATCAAAATGAGACGCTCGACTTTAAGCAAAACCAACAATAGAGGCAAAACCTCTAGAGTTAGGTCCTGTACAGAAGGGCTCAATTTAGATCCAGTTGCTGATCAACTTCTGAACAACATTTAGGAGAGCTTTGGCAATTTGAACCTTTTTGAGAACAATTTAAGAACCTTATCCTAATATTTGAGAAAATATAATAAATTTAATTGTTATGTTCTAATCAAGGGAAAAACCCCTGGAGTTTATAAGAAGTGGGATGAAATCTTGTTTGAAATAGAGGATTTTAGAAGACCACTCTATAAAGAGTTTTATCTAATTGAGGAAGCTATCCAATTTGCTCAATAGTATCTTGGAGACAGTTTTTTCATTAGCCCTCATCTTTCTCTAGATTTGTAGAAACCTTCAGGAGAAATAATGAAGACCACCTTAGCCCCACTGGCAGGTGGAAGACAATTAGTTCCTTCATTGGGAATTAATCAATATTTAATTGAAGGATCCTCCTCAACTTCTACATCAATTCCATTGGTGGATGACACTTAGAGGCAACTTAGGATGTATTTCAATCCACATGTTCCCTTACTCGAGCTGCCAGATGATTCAAGACAGTTAATATTTCAGAAAGCAGAAGCTTCAGGTCATGCTAAATTGAAGGCTATTCAACAATTCCTTCAACAGATAGCTGAAGATGGTATCAACCGACCTGGT